GGCTGCCTGTATAATTACCCCATTGTCATCATGCTATGTTATTTCATAATCTCTGGAAAATGGCTTACTTGAAGACTGAATTGTCCATTTTCGCCCTCCAATCGCCTTCTACTTATTTGCTTTTATTTTTATCACCATTGTCTATTAAACTTGTTTAACTAGTATATGTTACTGCCAAAATAAATTCATAAGTGTAACTAAAGTGAATTGTATTGAATCAAATTTAACTCACACTATAGCTGCTTACAGGCTACCCCTTATTGGCTATACTCACTGCCTTCTGCTACTGCGCTACTCACTGCTAACGGCCGCCGCACCCTTACATCGCCATTCATCGCTTCATCGTTCATCATTGCTAAATCGGGCTCATCGGTTCAAATCAAACATGTTTTTATTTGGAACGGATCACGATAAAAATAAATCGTTCTACAAATGAGGCGCACACCTTACCCGAATATCGCGCTGATTTCTATCCGGGCAGCGTCAATCGGCTGTGAAAATCGGACTGGTGTGCGGCGGCTTTACAGGCTGCCCCGCTATAACTCACTGCTTAGCCACTGACGAGCCTGCGTGTATTTGTGTATTTCGCAGGGCCGTCAACTTGCTGCTTTGGCAGGCGGGAGCGATCCCGAATCTAGGCGACGACTTCATCAACGTCTATCAGACGGCGAGGGAGAAGCACATTCATTCGCTCGAAGGTGAGCAGTACGTTTCTGTACCTGTATCTGTACCTGTACCTTGTATGTGTCGTGTACCATGTACCTGTTACCTTTACATGTACCTGCTACCTGTACCTGTACCTGCGGTACCATGTACCTGTATCTGCCTACCATGTACCTGTAGTATGTGCTGTACCTGCAACCTGTACGTGTACCTGTACCTGTACCTGTACCTGTAGTATGTGCCTGTACCAGTACCTGTACCTGTACCTGCACTTTTACCTGCAATTTTACCTGTACATTTACCTATACTTTTACCTGTACCTTTGCCTGTACCTGTACTTTTACCTGTACATTGTAACCGGTACCTTTACCTGTACCTGTGCTTTTACGCCCACCGCTGTCTGTCTACCTGACAGAGCATTTCACACAGAGCATTCTCACAGTCGGTGGGAAGTCGGGGAATTAGGCTTATCTTAGGTTAGAGCCAAAGAATGCTGTCTAGAGGTCAGGGACAGGTCACGGAATTCTGCTTAGAATTAGTCTTATCTTCAAAAACTGGGGGTAAAGCCAGAGAATGCTGTTTTAAAGCCAAGGGTCAGGGAAAGGTCAGGGAATTGTGTGACGAAGCCAAAAGTTGGAGGAATGAGGGGAAGCAGCCACGTATCCGCTCGATTGCTATATCGGAACATTTTACTACTTTTATCTATTTTTGCTTCTAATCGTGTATATTTTTACCGCTACGTATATATGTTTGCGGCCTGTCGTGCATGTTTTTCTTTCGTATTGTGTTTTGCGGCTTTGATGTTGATTGCATAGCTGATGCATATTTACTCATGAATTGCGTTTTTAGGCTTTGATGTTTAATTGCAGCGCTACCTACTCTTCTATGTATTTTTGTGTACGGTTGAGGCTTGTTATGTACATTTTAACGTCTATTTGTGTTTTCTGGCTAGTGTGTTTTTCTATCGCAGTGCTGAAAAAGCTTGTAAATTGTTATTTACGTGTAAACGTTTCTTTATGGCTTTGTGACATGTTGCGGCTGCTGCTATAATGTTATTTCTACGTGGCACACACCTTTATGACTTTGTGACGTGTTGCAGCTGCTGCTACATTGTTATTTCCATGTAAACGTATCTTTATGGCTTCGTTTCATGTGTTGCTGCTACATTGTTATCCCTATGTATGCGTGTTTGTTACGGCTGATGCTACGTTGTCACTTCTATGTATACGTGTTTTTTACAGCTGCTTCTACATCTTGCTTTTATGTATATACGTGTTTTTTACTGCTGCTGCTACGTTGCTACCCTACGTATTTTGATGGTGACGTCTACGTTGTGACTTCTATGCATGCATCTTTTTACTGCTGCTGCTACATCATATTGTTACTTGTCTGTATGCATTTCTTTTGACAGCGACGTCGACACTGTTACTTCTATCTATGCATGCCTGTTTTTCACGACTGCTGCCAGTGCTACATTTTTACTTCTATGCTTGCATGCTTTGACGGCGTTATCCGCGTTGCAGTGCTGATAACGCGAGAGGATGAGTTCAGCAACCAGCTGAGCAACAGGGCGACGTTTCGTGGCTGCACGGCGCTGCACTACGCCTGTCTAGCAGACGCCCCGGACGTCGTCAAGCTGCTGCTCAACGCAGGTAACACGTGCCGCCATCTAGCGGCGGCGACTCGCACCGACAGCCGGGTCTGACCCTTCTTCTAGCTTCGCCGCTACATCCCGTGGTGCAAACCCGAGCCTCCTTTTTGAATTTTATTTTACATTTCTTTGGCTAGCGTCTGTGTAGACGTGTGTACGTTTGCATCTGCTCCTCCGAAATGTGTCGTTGTGCATACACTCTTTCTCCCCCTCTCCTGATGCAGGCGCGGATCCATCGACGGAGAACGAGAATGGCCACCGGCCGATCGACTACACACGCAATGCAGAGACGCGCACTCTCCTGCAGAACTATAGCAAGAAGGTAAGGACTATGGCAAGCGGGTAATTAAAGATCACGACAAGGAAGTCTAAGGAAGAGCGGCATGATTTTTTTTACCACGGAATAGTCAAGTGGCGCATGTCAGCTTTGAAACGCAGTGGTTTTACGCGTGTGGCCCTTTGCTCCACGGGGGTAGGTGCTGCAGAGCGAGGGGCTATAGCCGGGGTGGGGCGTGCGATTGCGGTCGCCGCGACGCCAGCAAAACAAGGAAGCCCGGGTAACGACCGAGCTTCCTCTGTGTTTTTAGTTTGAGGAGAGGAGGCGAGAGAAGGAGGTGGAGGAGAGGAGGAGGTTTCCGCTGGAGCAGCGACTGAAGGAGCGAATCGTCGGACAGGAAGGAGCCATCCAGGTCGTCGCGTCCGGTGGGTATCCGCGCCGGACCGCGGCAGAGCGCCCTCTACAGTGCAGACAGCATAAGCGCCCTCTGTCTCAAACAGCAGAAACGCCCTCTATGTAACAGATGCCATAAGCGCCCTCTATGTTACAGATAGCATAAGCGCCCTCTATGTTACAGATAGCATAAGCGCCCTCTATGTTACAGATAGCATAAGCGCCCTCTATGTTACAGATAGCATAAGCGCCCTCTATGTTACAGATAGCATAAGCGCCCTCTATGTTAGAAATGGCAGAGGCACCCTCTGTCACAAATAGCATAAGTGCCCTCTATGTCTCAAACTGCCAAAGCGCCCCCTATATCACAATCAACATAAGTCAAAAGTGCCCTCTATAGCACAAGTGAACAACACAAACGCCCCCTATATCACAAACAACATACCTGCCCTCAATTCAACAGTAGAATTGCCCTCTACAGTACAATTAGGCAACAGAAGCTCTCTCTATATCACAAACAGTACAGTCACAACCAGGTCGTATTAGTGATTTTTGCAGTCTCTTTTTCGCGCCGTGCAACGGTGCAAATTCACGCTTTCTGATTTAAAAACCCCGTCGCGATTTTTGTTCGCGTGCGTGGTTACCACATGTATTCACGATACGGATCTAACCCAGTTCCGATGTCAATTACATTTATTCTTGCGATTTTTTTCTGCTCAGCGATTCGCAGAAAGGAAGGAGGATGGATGGACGACGACCACCCGCTGGTCTTTCTCTTCCTTGGCTCTTCTGGGATAGGTGAGTGCTGAAAGGTCTAACCTCCATGTCAGTCTACTAGCTCCTTTCTCACGCTCCTCTCTACCTGCTGAAAACTCCGCGAACAGTACGAAAGCAGAGTAAATGTGATCAAATTAAATCAAATAAAGTGAGTGATAAAATGACTCTAATGAATTGAATATATACATACATATATATATATATATATATAT